TACACGGGTAATTCTTAAAAATCCCAGCAAATTAATGAGGGGGACTATACCGACCATGAGCGATATGGATAAGCCAAGGTTTGCAAACCCGTTTTGGATTGAGATGGCAACGCTGTCGAAATGTTCGTACACGAATTCGAGGAGAATGCCTGAGTTGTTTGGGATAAGGTTGGGTGCGGTTTGTTGAGTTTAGTATGCTTTTTTCACTTAAGCCCAATAGCTTTAGTGAGAGTGAGCCCAAAGTCTAATGTTAACCCATGAAGCTTAGGGTTAGTTTTGAATGGAAGGAGATTTAAATTAAGAAATTAATTTAACCTTCAAGCGCATTATAAGACCATTAATAAAATAATCATGTGAAGTCCCATCGAATAAGCATAATTGGATTTTATTAGATTGGACCTAAATAATTATGGGAGGAGATTTAAATTAAGAAAATAATTTAACCTCCAGGCGCATTGTGGGCCTATCAATAAAATAATCATGTGAGGCCCCAACAGATAAGCGTGATTGGATTTTATTGGGACTTAATAATTTCAAAATTTTAATAAAGTATTGTACGGCCCATCGTCGATAATAATAAGTTATTAAAGATAATTTTGAAATTAAACAATGAATTCGACAGGGCTTATGAAAATTCTCAAATAAAAAATGTTGAATGGTGAAGGTTTTAAAAATTAAATAATTAATTTTAAAACCTGCGGGCTCCATTTGTGGGTTTATTAGTGAAATGGTTATCGCTGAAGCCCCATCAGATAAGGATAATCAGATTTCACTAGATTAAATCTTAATAATTGCAAAATTTTAGTAAAGTATTGTACGACCCATCGTCGGCAATGCTTAGACACTAAGGATAATTTTGAAATTAAGTAATGGTTAATTACATTCAAGTTTGGTAAAATTGTTAACCCTCCCATCGAGGCTCTGGCAATGACACTGAAGGCCCAAATAACAATTTTGGTTTTTACAAGTGACTTGCCCATCGTAAGCCTTGTAAAGATAAACTGAAGGATTGTTAACAATAAACAAGAGTAGTTATGAGAATCTACTTGTACTTCGTTTGTTTATTGCATTATTTGTTTGTAATTGTGTGCTTTATATGTTTTTTTTTCCAGAAAATGACTTCCTTCAATCCTATAGCCATGATTTTGAGTCAAAAACCTATAGATGATACAAACTATGAAGAATGGAAAAGGAACCTTGATGTTGTTCTTAAACATGAAAAGCTGAAATTTGTCCTTACCGTACCAAAGTCATGGCAACCTGTAGAGAGTGCATCTAAGAAAAATAAGATGCATTTCTCAGATTGGGAGAGGGCAGATATGGTAATTCGTTGCTATATTATTGTCAGTCTTTCGAAACACTTACAGAAGAAAGTGTACATGATTAAGAGTGGAGTAAAAATGCTTCAGACTCTTAATGACATGTTGGCTGTGTCTAGCAGCTCTGCTAGACAGAATGCAGTCAGTGCAGGTTTGGTTTATTTAGTATATAATCTCGGTAAAATCAAATAATTTAAATTAACTTGCTTCCGGCCACTATCAAATCAGGTGAGTTCGATTCTCCGTAAAATCAGGTGTAGACATACTTAGAGTAATTTGAAGAAGAAGCAAACAACAATGGCTTCCCTAACCTCTGGAATTCCACTTCGATTCTCCAATCCCTTCCGTCTCCAACATTCACCCCTTCCCCGGCCGCCACAACTTTCTCGGATCCCCCGAAACCACTCGTCTCTTAAATGTCCCCCTCCAACTGCCACTTCATCATCCAACCTCTCTCAAATTTCGATTCCAATGACCCCCTTCCTCTCCAACAACAACAAGGGTGGTGAGGTTAAGGCAACCTTTTGCGCCACGTGACAATCTGCCTCAACCTCGGAGATTCTTGTCTCTGGTGATGACCAAGAAATCCCAATCCGTCGGGAGGAACAAGATCGCTGCTTCGGCTGGGAGGGAATACTCGAAGGGTGCGATGGGTAAAATTTTAGCTTTTGACTTCTCCTTCTTTCAAAAGTCAAAAGTTCTACCTTTTCAAAAAAACAAGATTTTGACTTTTTGATTGGTTTTTGAATTTATTAAAATCTTACATCCAAACATAAAAAATATATATCTAAAAACACTTATTATTTTATTTTATTTTTTAAAAAGGAGCTTCTAGAGAAGAAGAAGCTCATCCAAACAAGCACATAGACTTTGTTGTTCCGTTAGGTATGCTCTTATAGAGCTTTCCATGACTTAGTCATGTTTCGTTAGTTTTTCAAGGCTGGAAGTTACTTGACTTGTAAATTTGAGTGCTATATTCTTAATTAGTCGCTCTTCTTTAGTATTTTGTTACTGTTCTCATCTCAATTGGCGATCTTATAACATCCATTTGATCTTTCTCATATGTAAAACATAGGCCTAGTAAATGTTGGAAATCGACAATCACACAGAATCGAGAAAACAGAAAAATAGATAAGAGTAGAGAGATTGACACGATGATTTACCCTGGTTCACCCAATATAGGCTACGTCCAGTTTGTCTGTACTATATTCACCTCACCGCCACTCGTTACAAGTCTCTCGGTTTACAAGGCAAATATAAATAGGATTACAAGAAACCCTAACAGCAGCTATTCATGGGCCCAAGCCCAAACTGCTAAGAAAATTACAATAGAAACAGAGGCCTAAACATTACCTAGCTATTCATGAGCGGGACCCCAGTTGCCTTTCTGCTGACCCCGACAATTAGGGCAAACATCATCATGTGAAGTATGAGCCATACCCAACAGTAAAAACATAACATAGAAACTCACAAGTTAATACACTAGTTAATGGGTTTGAGATCAATAATATATAAAATATTTTCAAAATAGCATCTTAACTGTATATCAAAATTAACCAATTTAAAACACTCACCTAAAAGGTTGTGAAGCTACATTTTATGACTCGTCCAATTTGGAAATATGAGGTAATATAAATGGAAAATTTATAAAAATGATCATATACAAAATTAATTGAAAAACAAATCGTACAAAGATATGGATATATATATAGTGAGAAAGATGAAAAATCTAGAACTTTTTGGGGAGGATTTTTTTTTTCTTTTAAAAAAGGGAGATGGGCATTGATGATATTGTGCTTGAAGGACGAAATTGTAGCTTAGGCTTTTTAAATAAGTAGGATGCTTGCAAGATATGCATGACATGTCACGTTAATCGCAGCTGCTTTTTCTTCTCCAAATTATGCTATTATAATTTATGATTTTTGTCTTTGAAGGAGAAGTCTTTGAATTTTTCCCATATAAAATATATATGGTTTACTTTATAGTTCTATTTAATGTCCATGCAATATTTATGTGCCCTACGTCTTCTGCTAGATTCCCAAAGCTTGTCGTATTACATGCACACCATCTATCTAGCACTCCATTCCCATTCTTTCGTTGTCCTCTCTTGATCCAATTTGCATCATTTACCTCTAGAACAAAATCATAAATCCATATAAGACAACAGCAATAACTTTGCTAGTTTATTTTCACTAATTTAGGTCTTCCTTAATATATATATATATATATATATATATATATATATATATATATATATATAAACATGTAACATATCAAATTATAAGTTTATACGACGAAGTTTGTTAACATTACTCGATCTAGGGGTGTTCGTGGTCTGGATTGGATCGGTTTTGGAAGCAAAAATCATCCGATCCAATCCCTTTGGTTTGATCATGTAATCATCCATTCGGTTTGGATTTTTTTTCAAATCCGATCTGATCCAATCCAATTTTTTTCGGTCTGGATTGGATCGGTTTTCGATTTTTTTAAAATCCTAAAATTTGTTTCATGATTATTGTGCAAATAACATCTTTTGTATATATTGACTTTGTAATTTTATTTTTTTTAAATACAAAAACATCATTAAACGATAATATAGTTTTTTCTTTTTTGGGCAATGAGATATGAAGCTATACACAAATTAAATTTTGTTAATGAGATGTGACTAGACTTTTTCTTGAGTTTAGTTGATGGTTAATGGATCTTTGGTTTAGAAAGTTTTGGGCTATGATTGGAAAAAAAACGCAAGTAGATAGAGAGAAATTAATATACTGGATCAGTTTGGATTGGATCGGTTTTTATTAACCCATCCGAAAACCGATCCAATCCAATTAAAATTTGCGGGGTTTTTTCGGTTTATTCGGTTATCGATTTTTCGGTTCGGTTATTGCGGTTTGAATCGGTTTGGATCAGTTGATGAACACCCCTAACTCGATCTAACAATAAATTTAATTCACTTAATGTCTATAATACGTCTATCTATTGAGCTAAGCAAACAATATATAACACAGGCCTATAACTATCTATGTTGTCGACGTCCACAAAATCAATAACATTTTCATAAAAGCAACAACAATTATAAAAAGAAAAAGAAAACAATGAATTGTATTACCAATTACCAAAACCACGAGGATAAATAATAATTAAGCGAAATCTACGAAAAGCAGCACGCAAAGCACACTTCCGTAAAGACACGCACACGCTCCTAAGTCTTAACACCACATTTCGGCGCGGCTTTTGCTTTCCTTTCTATCTTCGATTATTTACTATTTTATTTTTTAAATAATTAATTATGTTTACATTTTTATACATATATCTAATAATAAATCAATTATTAATTAATAACTTTTGAAACTAATTAACAGCTAATGTAGTATGATTTCAGCTTATGTTAATAAAGTATATATTAACTCATTATAGTCCTTGTTAACTAATAATAATCAAGTTATGGTAAATATGTATAAAAGTATATGAATTTTTTCAGGTTTTCAAGCAACATTTTCTATTTTTGTTTATGTGCAACAATATGCCAAAAAACCTTTAGTTTATAAACACCCTCCCAAACCGTTCCATTCCCCACGACTCCACCTTCTCCACCACTACCTCTCAATCTTCTAGCTTTCTCTCTTTCTCTCTCTCTCTCTCTCTCAAAACATCCTTTTCAATTCACCATTTTCCAAAATGGCAAACCCAACAACAAAACCCAGTCCTCTTTCTCTTCTTGTTCTTCACACATTGTACTTTCTCTCATACTCCTTGTTCCTTCATTCAACCTTGGCCAAATCAACCACCTTCAATGTTGTAGACTTTGGAGCCAACCCAGATGGACAAACCGACTCCACCGAGGCCTTCCTCAGTGTTTGGAACAAAGCTTGTGACTCAGCAAAACCTGTAGGCATTTACGTGCCACAAGGGCAATTCTTGTTGAGTAAAGTCACCTTCACTGGCCAATGTAACAACAACGCCATCTCCATAACCATTGATGGCACCTTGGTCGCTCCATCTGACTACAATGTCATCGGAAACGCCGGATATTGGTTGAATTTCAACCAAGTTTCCGGCGTTTCCATTCACGGTGGAGTGCTTGATGGCCAAGGCACTTACCTTTGGGATTGCAAGAACTTAGGCCAAACTTGCCCACTTGGAGCTACGGTATGTTTCATGCATATATGTCATCAATGTTAATAGTATATTGCATGACATAAATGCCCAAGAATTAAATAATTGAGGTGTGGAGAATAGGGGGCATTAATGTCTTTTCAATGGATGTTAAGGTTCCCTCACCCTAATAAAAATTCAAAGACCATACTTTATATCTTAACCATTATACTCTACATCTTTTAATTTTCTTAAAAGTTTTGAGTTACCTTCATAAAAAATTTGAAATATATACATAATTTTGCTTCCTCCAAGGTGGTAATATAAGTTCAGGTTATTTTCTTTCGATCATATCTAGTAACTGCCATGCTAACGTAACGGTTAACCGTTAACATTAAGGAAAACAATTCTTCTAAAGTATATCATTAATATACTAATATGGGATATGTTATAACCACACGTTCTTTGTTTCTTTGCATTATTGGGTAATTAATTAATTAATCAAAATTTTATAATGGTTCATGTTGTGTTTTATGTGGAAGCAGACACTTGGATTCAGCAACTCTGACAACATTGTCATCACTGGGTTGACCTCTCTTAATAGTCAAATGTTCCACGTAGTATTCAATGGATGCCACACCGTCAAAGTACATGGATTGACAGTCAAAGCTGCCGGAAACAGCCCTAACACCGACGGCATCCACGTCCAATTCTCCTCCGACGTCACCATCCTCAAACCCAGAATTCGAACCGGCGATGATTGCATCTCGGTTGGCCCCGGCACTAAGAACTTGTGGATTGAAGATGTTGCATGTGGTCCTGGCCATGGGATAAGGTTTTATTTTTTATTTTATTTTATTTTATTTTTGTTTGAATTTATTAATGTAGCTCCATGTTAGAAAATTAGGACTAGATGATGTAACTTTTGGCATTATGGTACTAATGTATTTATTGTTGTTGTTTACTAAATTTTGGTGCAGCATTGGAAGCTTAGGATGGGACTTGAGAGAACCTGGTGTAAAAAATGTGACAGTTAAAACAGCTACATTCTCCAAGACTCAAAACGGTTTTAGAATAAAGTCTTGGGGAAGGGCCAGTAATGGATTTGTGAAGGATGTTCATTTTGAACATGCAATTATGACTGATGTCCAAAACCCCATTGTAATAGACCAAAATTACTGCCCTTATTACAAGGACTGCCCTAGTCAGGTAATTTTTTTCCAAGGGTAATTTTTCTTTAATGGGCCATTTGGTCCTATAGTACATACACAAAATTACTAGGACAAAGTGAATTAATCTAAGCCACTGGTATTATTGTATTAAAAAAAAAAAAAGTGGACTAATCTTTTGCATTTAATTTGTTTTATTGGCATTTCAATATATAGGCCTCTGGGGTAAAGGTAAGTGATGTATCATACAAAGATATTCATGGAACATCTGCAACAAAGGTTGCTGTGAAATTTGACTGCAGTTCAAAGCACCCATGCAAAAGGATAAGGTTGGAGGATGTGAAGCTCACTTACAAGAGCCAAACTCCCCAAGCTTTGTGTAAGCACGCCGCTGGAACGGCATTCGGAGTAGTTCAACCGGAGAGTTGCTTTTAGGACATGCAAATGCCCTCAACATAACCATCATTTGGTAAAAATTGTGATAACTATATATACTAAGAAAATGAAGAAAGGAATCTTTGTATGTATCTATATATATGTCCTCCAAAGTCATATGAAAAGATAAGTACATTAAGTGTTGTAATTTAAAGAGTTCATAGTGCAGACCGTGCAGTTGCAACAGTTGTTTGGTATGGATGAGAATAGGTTACTTGCTTGAACCTGTGGCCTTATATAGTATCTCTGCATTTGAGACTAGCCTTGCAATTTGTATGGACTCGGAAAGTCTAAATTTTTATGGCAGGATTGTATTAATATAAAAAAGAGTGTATATATATATTGGTCATTGGATAATATTTTTAATTTTTATATGGCTTAAATTTGCCTCTTGTTAATTTGATTTACACATTTTAGAATGTCTTTATAGATGCACTCATAGCAAATTGTGGCATCCTTTTCTCACTACGAAGAATATACCTCAAAATGTTACTTAAAATTACGTTTTTGTAAGAAAAAATACAAAGGTTAAGATAATCCTTCTATAACCTTGTTTCTAAGAAGATTCTGGTATCTTTAGTAATTGGTAGTTATCATTTATATATATGCCTCATTTCATTAAAGGAATTTATATTTATGCCTTTTTAAGACAGAAACATTCTCTCTGCCACATAGAGAACATTTTTCTCTCCCTCATTTTCATTATCTCATTTTTTCTCTCTCTGAAATCTGAAATCTGAAATCTTCTCTCGAGAGAAAGTATATGCCTTAATATAAGAAGTTTACCTTTAATGTTTTAAGAGGAATCTTATTCCTACAACTTATGTTTTCACTGTTGATTTTTGTCAATATAATGATTATAATTTATTAATAATTAATAATTAATAATAAATATAACTCGATAAATCATAATCGTTAAATTCGAAAATGAACGATGAAAAAATAGGTTATAAGAAGTTGTAAAACTTTTATTGTTAAGAACCTTGAGGTTATACCATGTTAAAAACCTTGAGGTCACCACCCTAAAAGCTAGCTCAAAGGGTGGGAGTGCCCAAGGCCTTGTAAATCTCACATTAGTTGCCCATACAACCAATGAGGAACTATATTTCTCAACACGTCCCCTCACACGAGAGCCCACTAGACTTGAAGGGTGGACAACATACAAGCACACCTACATGGGAAAAATCCACTACAAAGAAAGTGGCCATGTAAAGAACCTTGAGGTCACCACCCCAAAAGCTAGCTCAAAGGGTGGGAGTGCTCAAGGCCTTACAAACCTCATATTAGTTGCCCATACAACCAATGTGAGACTATATTTCTTATAAGAATAACCCTGCTGGTGTTTTAAATAAGAGAAACATGGCTAAATATTAACTTCTAATTAATAAAGGAGGGGCCAGGGGACGATCACCCCTCACTTTTTAAAATGATAACATATAGTATTACCCATATACTAATTGACTAGCCATTCTTGACAACCATGCACCAATTATTATCGGAGTTGTCTGCTATATTTCCCTCTAATTTTGTTGAAAGATTGAAATAATTTAAAATGCATAAAAATATGAAATATATTGAGAAGATATAGAAGAAGTATATATGAATAAAAATTATATTTAAATATAATAAAATTGTGTTATTTTCTAGTCAATCTCAAATAGATTTATGTCTAAATATCAGTATTTAATAGCTAAATAAGATAAGAATAGAACTAGCAGGATATGAAAATTGGATACTTTATAAATTTAAAATTGATAAAATTGATTTTATTTTCTAATCAATTTCAAATAGATTTAATGTTTATCTAAATAATTAAGAATATATAATAATAAATAAGATATGATGTATATATAAAAGTGTATTTAAATATACTTATATAGGTTTTGATTTTCAGTCCATCTCAAATTATTTAAATTCTGTGTAAATTATAAATATATAATAAATAAATAAATAAAATTTAATGTAGAACAAGATTTAAGTGAGGTGTTCTTGATGTTTGTAATTTGCATTGTGAACAGTTTTATTTATATTTTATTATATTATATGTGATTTATGTATTAGGAATATTTTTATTAAATAATATATTTTTATTTGTATTATGAATTTTTTTGGATATAATTTAATTATGAATTTTAAAACACATATATATTTTGTCCCCTCGCAAAAATTCCTGGCTCTGCAATTGAAGGATACCCAAGAAACCTAAAAAAAAGAAAAAAAATATTTTTACTTTTACTACAGAATTTTTTTTCTGCCATACTTACATAAAAGTGTGTGTGGGTTCTACTAATCTTTTCTTTTTTTTCTTTTTTAATAGGACCTGTTCATTTTTTATGTGATTGTAACAGCAAAAATAAAAATATTAATCCAAAAAAAAAAATTATGCCGGAGTTGGCAGGTTTTTTTACCCTTTTACCCTTAATTAAATAAAAAATGATTATTTTATCCCCGTCCCAAAATTATACACACATCTGTCCCTATTTAATTGATTACATGATATATGTAATCGATTAAGTGTCAACAATTTATTTTAATCGATTAAGTGATCGATTAACTGCAACTTTTTCTTACTATGTTTTGCATTCTCGGCTTCTCTTGCATTCTCTTTTTTCTTCATCCTTGTCTAGCTCTGTGCTTCATCAACCTCAGGTAAACATGTCTTTCATTCTTTTTCTCTCTTAAAAATCCAAAAAAAATTATTCTGAATTAATGGCTCTGTTAATTCATTTACATGGCTTTTCCTATGGTTTTTTGCAAAAAAAATGAACAGAAAATGTTAGATATTAAGTGTGCACAAGCAAGCAAGAATTGCTATGCCGACAATATTCTTGGAATGGAGGAAAATTTGGTTGTTCATTCAACATTTCAGAAGTATTAATGATGCCATAATACAACAAAACACAACCAAAACCAATATTTAGATACTAAAATGGTTATGGATGTTATTATAAACAATGTATGTCTAGTGATGAAGATGAACTTCGGCGTCGTAACTCGGCCTTGAGCGGGTGTTTGGTTGAGGAAATTTTTTTTGAATACTGAACAAATGTAATTGATAGGGAAATGGTTGGAAATTGAGTTTGGTAGGAAAATGTAAAAAAAGTTGTTTGGTTGAAAAAAATTTACTGGACAAATTAGGTAAGATTATAAATGTCTATGTTTTGTGTGAGGTAAAATATAGATGGGGAAATGTGTTACAATTACAAAAATATCCCTCTTTTTACATTTTTTTTAAATCACCTACCCTTTACCCTTCCTTCACCTTCCACGCCGCTTCGAGATGTGATTGGGGTAGGATTATAGGGATCAGCTAATTTTGCACAGCCACCATCCAAGTGGCAGAGCAATCAATTTCTCAGGGGAAAAAAATCAAGCCTACCAAAATCCTAAACACCTCATTTGATCTCTTTCTCTTATTCAACCTCATCTGGAACATCCCATTGTACCTCATTCTCTCATCTGAACCCTAATGCAATGGTCTGTGCTTGGGGCAACTTCAATTTGTGGGTGGTTTGACTGGGTCCTGCTTGGGTTGGTTTGAATGTGGCTAATCTGGGTTGTGGCTGAACTCTTTCTCCTTTAATCTGTTACTGTTTTGATCTGGGTGGGTGGTTATTGGTTTGTTTTTGCCTATTGTGCTCTGTTTCAGTGTTTGGTTCTGTCTTGGTTGGCTGTACTTGTGTTCTGGTTTTGCTGGTATGAAAATTTCATCTAGTGAGACTGGTGGTGTGACAACGCCGTTCAGTTGCTGGTATCCGGTGGCGGTGCGAAGAGTGGTCGTGTATGTACAGTTGTCACCTTCCTTCAGATGTGATTTGGGCTCCAAGTTGAGGGTATGGTGGTCATGTGGTTAATCATCCATTTCTTCATTTAGGTAGATATCCTCAAATACCACATCTCATATGGGAATCGGTTGCCTTGCATTTAAGCCAAATTGACATGCAAACTTGATGGATGGAGAACTGATTTCGCTGGAGAAATTTTTGAAACTCTTCAACCAAACATGGTGATTCATCTTTCCCACTTATCAGAATCCTATCTATCTGATAAGATACCTCCAACCAAACGCCCCCTGAAGATGTATTGTCGATGGATATGTGAAATGAATACTTGAGTGAGAACGAAGATGTACTTTGGTGCAATGAGCAAGAGGGAAGAGAATGAATGTTCGACACTTAATCAATTAAAATAAAATTTTGACACTTAATCGATTAAATATACATGTAATCGATTAAACAGAGACATATCAGTGTATAATTTCAGAAGGGGGACAAAGTGATTATTTTTTATTTAATGAAGGGCAAAATTGTCAAATAGCCGGAGTTGACACATTGAAATAAATTTATGTTGGGGGGTGTAAACACTCATAGCTGTATAGCTGATTCAGCTGAAGTCTGTATGAGATGATTAGGAATAGTTGAAAATGTTAGCTCGAAGTCTCTAATTGTTGGGCCTAATGAGTTATGGGCTGCAAATTTATCGGACAAATAGACGACCGTGTCGAAAGGGTTAGAAACCAGTTCCTATAATACAGGACCTATTTAGTTTCCAGATGTAATAATAAAATATAGAAGATTATCAGGAAATTGTTAAATAAAAAAGGAAGGAAAAAGATCTCTTCTCTATTTTTCCTGAAAATACTCTTTGTTTGACTAATTTTCTTTTTCTTTTTTTAATTTTGTTTTGTTCACTCAATTGTAGATCTTGAACGATTGCCTCTTTATTACTTATGGATTTGTAGCCCCTCAATTTTCGGAAATAACTTTGGAGAGTTGCATGAAGAGAAGTAATCAATTGATTTGTAGCTCTTTAACGTGTTGTGTATCCCATATGGTGTGCTAGCAGATTTGAAAAAAATTGTGTGTATTGTTAAATGGGAAATAATTAACGTCACATGAGGTAACTTTTAATAAAGCATTGCTATTACCGATTAGGGAAGGGTGAAAGGTACATATAATAATAGGGATATCATCTTCTCATTCAACAAGAGAAGAGAACTCTCCCGTTGCTGAGAGAAAATTCTAACTGGCCCCACTTACAAAACAAAAAAAACAAAGGGTTTGACACGGCTTTCGAAGGGTCAGCTGGAAACTTTTATGTTCTTCAACGAAGAATTATAAAACCCATAATAATATGCATATTTATCCAACCCTTTATTACTAATGGGAGCATTGCACGTTTGTAACAGACAGTAAGTGTTGTTTCAAAAATTTAATTTTACAACTTCAAACACTCGCATGAAATGTTGTACTAAGCTTTAGATTCAAGGAAGAACAGCTAATCCACTCGAGTAAATGAAAAAACTCATTAGGCAGTGACGCAGTATCAAATGTTTGACTAGTTAAAACCTAAAAGCAAGCTGTAAATTCTATAACAATATGGCTGAGCAGAACATGAAAAAACTGGACCTGTATTAGTTAAGGATCTCTCTCTTTTTTGGATAAATCACAGGAGACAATCCTGTTCGAAACGGATCCAGAATTAAGGTTTAAATCTGTCTCAAAGATGATACTGGGGAGGATCAAACACATGCTCTCACCTCCACCTGCTCAGCTCTCGTGCACCAACTGAGTTACCATCATTTAGTAGCTAAGGATCTCTTTAGTTCAACAAATTCGCGTACCACATCACCTCAGTTCACTTCGGATGATCAGTAACAAAATCAAAAGAATACCAGATTACTTGAAAGCCATGGAAACAATAAACAGTGTGAGCATTGTAATTCGGAAAAATATTCTCATGCTCAATTACGGTATGCAAACACCAACAGAGAAATAGGGCGTCAAGGTTTGAATTAGGTAGCAACAAATTAAATGACACCTAAAATCTTAAGCATGTAAATGATAGTTGAAGAATATTATTTGTAAACTAAAGCAAGAATGAGATGAACAATATGAAAGTGTCAATAAATTTGGATGAGACACACATAAGAAACCTTTCAATTAATTCTATTAGCTTGCTAAAGCAGTAAAGCAACATTGAGACCAGTCAACATATTGTTGTTGATTTCTTATATCTGCCTGATATATTTAATATAAATCAAGCAAGAAGGAATGCTATTCTTGAAAATTAACCAGATCAAGAAAAAGTGCTCTAAAACACCCACAGAGAAACCAAAGCAGTAGCTTAAAAGAAGTCAGAATGGAAGGTTTCTTAATTAATGTCTAAATCTAACAAGGCCAACAGAAATACTCAAATAGTCAAACAGTTTTTCTCTCTATAATATTTCTTTTGTCCATCTTTTTCTCTAACTACTCTTTTCACCTTCAATTTTCTTTGCTTTCTTTGCGGATGTTGCCTGTGAATACAGGAAAGTCCCAAGAATTGCAATGGCAGATCCAAGGCCATTAAGTGGTCTAACCGGATTCCTGAACACCAAAACTGAAGATACAATCACCACCACTCTCTTCATTGTGTTCCCCACTGAGAAAGTTAATGGGCTAATTTCATCCAGGGCTTGGTAAGATGATTGGTTATAAAGATGGTAGAATACCCCAGACAGCAACACCCATATATAAAATGTGGATGGTTTGCCTATAGCTTCAATTGCCTTGTAATACCCTGGGATCCACTGAGACCCTTCTAAAAAAATAGCCACTGGAAAAAGATATAGCAATGAAATTATAGTAATCCAGCCATATAAGTTCAAGCCATCAACTTCCTTGAAATTCTGTAAACTTCTTTTAGAATAGATGTTCCTTAATACGAAACCAACATTGCTAATGAGGGCACCCCATAACCCTTGTACATTGAAAGATACCTCTGTAACAGCAGCTAAAGAACAACCAAGTACAATTGGTAGAATTGAGAGCCAAACCTGTATGGGGTATCTATCACCAAGGAAAGAAGAAAATATGACAGAGAAAACTGGTTCTGCAGATTTGATGACATGGGTAAAGGAAACAGCAACCTTAGAGAATGAAACACAAGCTGATATGTGGCCTATTGTGTGGAACAAAGCAGGTCCAAGGAGAGCAAAGATGAAAGGCTTTGAGATTTTTGGACAAGGTTGGAGCTTTAAGGACCAGAGCACCAGCATCCAAATGGACCCAACAAAGAGCTGGAAAGAGGCAAGAAGCCATGGGAATGGGAATATGTTTAACACTTTCTTGTTGTAAATGTTGAAGACAATGTTTTGGAAGTACCATAGTCCAAATACTAAAGCAAGTTTGAAATTCTTAGGTTTGGGATTACTGGGAGCTACACTTTCTCCCTCAGGATTGGCATCAGATGCTGCTTTAACGATTTGGTGTCTGGGTTTTGCTGAGAACACAAATGGGTGTGAGAGGAATCGGTTAAAAGAGCTTAACTTTGTGATTGAATGTTGGATCTGAGATGTGGGTATGAAAGAAAGTTTGGAACTTTTGAGACCAGATTCTCGAAGCTGAGAAGTGGTTTTGTAGCAGTGTAGGTTCTTGTCCGTCTGAACCCTGCAGAGAAGATTTGGGTTGAGAATGGGAGATGCATTAATGAAACATTGGTGATTGGGTTGGGTGAAAGTGACAGAGGATGATGATGGAACAACCTTCAAAGATAGCATTTTTGTGGCAGAAACAACTGAGACAGTGGAAAAGGAAATAGCAACACAAATTCTGAATAAGGAGAATAAAAAGACAAATTAAGGAAACTTCAAACTTTGAAGGGATTGAAGTCCTTTTGAGAGCATAGAGAAGAACCACAAACAACCCCCTCAAACAGCCAAAGGTAAATTGTCCCTAATTCTGTTTTCACTTTTCAGAATGATTAAAAATAAAAAAGAATCGATTTATTTTTTTTTGGTAAACAAAAAAAAGAATTGATTTAATTTGGTTTAAAGGAACAAACTTGACTAAAAAATTTAAAGTTTTATGTTTTGAAGTTATTACTAAAAAATTAATATGAACTAATTTATTATCATTTTTATATATACAATACATTAAACATTAATTGAATTTATTTTATTTTATTTTTTGTATTATTCTTACTTAAAACAGATAAAATGATTAAACTAATAAGGTTAAGATAGTTACTTTAAGTAAAATTAATTAATTTTGAGTAAGTTTCTACTTTTAAATAATTAAACCAAGTTTTTAAAAATCAAACCAAGTTAATCCTCATGTTTTATGGCTCTAAATTTCAAAACATAGCTAATACCAGCATTATTTTTTCCCCTTTTTAAATGAAGATTCCATTTTACCTGGAGTATCATTCTTTTATGGACTGTTTTTTTTGGTTCATTTATTGAAATAATCACTTTTTATGATTCTTTTATTCTAGGGAGTTATTATTTTAAACTTTTATAAAATAAAAAAACAGGACACCAAATTTGGAAGTTAAATCTCTTTTTTCGTCTAACAGAATTCAATAATAAAAGTATCATTGGTCTGATTTATAACAAGCTAGTTTTTTTAACAAAAATTATAAGTATGAGCAAAATAAAAATCAAAGATAAGGCAGAAAACAGAAAATAAATTTCATACAAAAATGATATTTTTATTCTTATAAATGGAGATAGCTCACAATTTAATTCATGATGTGAATTTATATAACATTTGGCATTTAAACTATTTAATTTCAATAAAAAAATCTTAAAACGAGCTTGAAAAGATATAATCTAAATTAGCAATCAGATTGCAAAGTGCTTTTTAAAAAAATCAAAATGCTAATTTAGAAGAAAAAAATACCCCAAAAGAAATGTTTTATTGATCGATATATTTGTTGCTTGCTATTTTTATCATTTTATGGTCATTTTCCAAATAATACGACTCTCTAGGAGTACAAGACCCAAATTTGTTTGCAACTGAATCAAGATAACTGAAAATTCACAGAAAACAGTTTAAGACAGACCATCCAATTCATGCATCAAAACCCAAAAATAAGAACTTCAAATGATGCCGAACAAAATCTTGTGACCAACTCAACCGGTGTACCACTTACAAATATATTCATTTTAAAGCCATACTTCCATGATTAAATGCAACTAATCAGAACAGGATACAGACTTCAACAAGAGAAGCTCTTCACAAATTTGCTGATATATCTATCAACTTTCTTCGTCTACAAGGATAATTGAATCATTGCCAACTCCAACGTCCATAAGAGATGACGAGTCATTGTCAAGCAGCATGGGCACTGGAGAGCTCTGTAAATTCAAAGACATGTATGCAACTAAATCAAGAAACAATATTCTTTTTATCCTGGTTAAAAAAATACTAAAATACTCCCCGTTAAACCTGACTAACGAGTATGGGGTGGAGACAATCATTTGTACACAGCCTTATCCTTGCATAATTGCAAAGAAGTTGTTTCCTGGATTCGAACCCATGACCTTTCAATCATGAAGGAACAGTTTTTTATCCCGGTACAAAAATAATATTTTACTCCTGCATAGTTCCTTACAAAATTTATTAAGAGGGAATAAATAAATGAGTGATCTGCCTAGCTATAGTCCTCCCTCATTCCCCACAAGAAGTTTGTCACAAGATTTTTTTTTATTTTTTCCAGAATATCACTTGGAAGAATTTCACATCAATCAATGCAGATTACACTAATTTTGTAAGATTGTCTTGAGCTTGCTGCTTCCATTTTAGGAAAAATTTGAATCAGGCAATTATGATAATAAATAGCAGAGTTTATTATTTAAAAACAAACCTCTTCTTGAAGAAACAATTTTAGCTTCATGAACTTCAGCTTAAAAAAGCTTTCGCAGAGAAGTTTCAGCTTACCAACCTGAGAAAAACAAGGTAATCAGAAGGGTTGTTTTAAGTCTTGACAGACTGAGCATTACATTACTAGAACAGTTTTGATATTTAACTGTAGTTGTTGCTGGCAACTTCTTTGTCAATGGTGACTTCTCACCCATGGATGCTCCGACACACTTCAGAGTGATAGCTGCATTAATCTCTATAACAAGTTAATAAAGCTATTGCAAGTTCAGGGAAAAAAGCAGATACACAAACTCAAAATCCATAGTCCATACACAAGAATCCTGAGCTGATTGTTTGTGGGCCACTAGCTCCAATTGAAGGTTTTTCATCCTCAATTCCATGAAAATTCTTAAGCTCAGAAAACCTGTATTGAAGTGCATCAGTACATTCACAAAAATATTTCACCGTGAGATACAAATTAATTGAGACATCTAGATCCCATTTTCAATTTTACAACATTATTTTGACAACGAAAATGCTCAACATTCAGGTCCATCTGATGGTGCAAAACAGAGAATATGTATACTGCAACTGGACGCGAGGAGAAGTTCTAGGACATCTCCCAAAATAGTTGCCTTCTATTACATGCTAAGGAGCATAGTACAAATGGACAACTCAACTTGCTTAAATATCCCCCCTTCCCCCAATCCAAGAAAAAAAAAATCCCCATCGAAATCAATGAATTAAGAGTTATTAACCCTAGTCACCAAGACAATCGATGTGTCTCTCATGTGATACCTTAAGAACTCAAGGTGTGAAACCTAGTTTTCCTTTCTTTCTATTTATTCTATGATTCCTACTGATTAAATTCCCAATCAGACTTGTTCACTAAACCTGACATCTTCAACCCAATTGCAAACACCTCGAACCATTCTTGCATATTTTCTCCCAGAATACCATCAGAACCCAGAGATACAGATTTTTCTGAATAGCATTTTCATCCAGCTTTCTATTGCCATCACAACACACATACTGAACAGTAATGCTAGAAGTTCCAAAAATTATCACTGACATGAATTTACCTGGGATGCTGTTTGATTTCTTCAGGACTAGCATGCAACCTTGAGATCACAAGCCGAACATACCTGCATAAGAATTGTAAAGAATAAAAGATGTTGCTTCACATTTAACACAAATAAGATGTGAAACTTTATTTGAACTCTCAACCCAAAGGTAAGCATGATTTAAAAACACACATATCTTATGCATTAAACCCGCAGTTTTGATTGGATATTCTATATTTGTATTGTTTGGTGTACATTATTAGTTCTGGGAGGGTTGAAATTTCCTGTGTTTTATAGTTGTGAGGCTGTTCATTTTAGACATGGCCAAGAAAGAAAGCAAGCTGAGAGACATGCTCTGGAAAGGAGATACCCTCAACAATGGAGTCAATGATGGTCCCTAAAACCTTTCCTCTTCTACAAGGATAATTGATCGAAAGTTAATGGGCAGTAGCAATTAGGTTCCATGGAAGAGAATCATCCAACAGCATACGGCCATATGACACAAGAAAGAAATAGTACCTTATGTACACATGCTAAATAAGGTCATTAGTCCCAATGGAATGACAAGGAAAGGATTGGAATGTCACTCAATTGCAGGGTGGCAAACAAGCCAGGTTTCCAGTGAGGAAAATATTTAGTTCAAAAAAGCATAGACCAAATATCAGAACTAAATGATCAGAGTACGCAGGAGAGGAAAGGAACATCCATGAGATAAATTCAAGAACAACGATACAAAAATACTATAAGATAAAACACTTGACAAACAATATACAGAATTGATGATTGTAAAAAGGATAATTCAGTTGCCAAGGGATTTGAGAAGAACAAACCTAATCTCAGAGTCCTTCCTTTCACGACGGGTAACCTGAAAGGTAGACTAGATATGAATACGTTCGATATAAGAAGCAAATAATCAGCAGAGAGGTCTTCCATCATACCTCACTCCCATTCAATATCTGAACTTTTGCTAAACGAGCAATCAAAACAAATCTTGGAACTCCACCTCTTCTAGAATCAGTTATTGGGTTTTCAGAAAGCCTGATATCCTTTGTTGTTATTAAAGATAAATAATTAGAATAGAAGCTACCATCTGTATAAACCTACTCTAGCAAGTTACACCAGTAAAAAACAAAGGAAAGAGTAGTCCCTATAGTGGTAAGGAAAGAAAAGTTGTAAAAAACAGATTAGTTACTTTCTCAAAGGAAACTTGCAAAGGTCCTCTGTTTAAACATATGCGGAAAAACTGAATCATTGCCAATTTGCCAAGTAGAGTATAGTTAAGGATAAATCTTTGCATCGTGTGAGATTAAGTGTTATAAACCATTTTCGGGGGCTTCTTTATGGTGCTCGTTTCAATGTTGGACATGCCGCGAGATTAGCAAGCTTGGCTTTGTTTGTATGTCTTTTTATGGATTCCTGGTTTCTATTTTTCTTGATTCTCTTTAGAGAACATCCAATCCTCTTGCCCTGTAGTTCACAATTCTCTAATATAAAGTAGAATGCAGTAATAAGTTACGCATAGCCATCCATAACTGTCTTTGTTTAATTGGTACATCCATAGCCTTCTCTAAAGACTGGGTTCTCAGTTCAATCTCTAAACCACAAGATGAACTCCGTGCACAAATTAAGATTGAGTAAAAAAGATAAATCATGAAATCTTGTGCGAGTAGTTACAGTAGAATATACTCCTAAAAAGTTGTACAAGAACCAGGAGAGGTAATAACTCAGTCAAATGATAGGCATATAAGCAAGACCTGCACACAAATTACTTAGGTAAGTGTAGCTACAAAATAATTTTGAATTGCATCCCCAACGTACCATTTTCAAGTGGATTATTTGAGAAAACAGTCAATGGTCCTAGACTCATTGTTAAGATACAGCACAGCATAATCAAGAATTAAAATAAAATATGCAAGCATAATAAATACTTCAAAGTATAAAACTTACCACCAAATTAGGAAACAAGTTTAATGAGTCAACAGAGGCCAGATCACAAATATTGTTATCACCTGAACGATGGATTTAAAGACTTAAAGTCAGGTGTATCCACAATCCATATTTCATACAGTATGATGAAAATGATCTTTATCAAGACGAATAGTATTATATTACCCAAAAGAAGGCAGCACAAATTTTGAAAGGGCTTATAGCATGTAACTTCCGATTCATGCTGCGAACCATCATCAGGATAAAAGAGAGAATTCAAGCAATTCTTGTTCAAATAAAGCTGCTCCAAACTGGAAAAAAAAAATATACCAACTACGAAAATTATCAAATCAATATGCTTAAAAACAAATCTACCCAAAAGCATAGGCATTGTTCTCAGGGGGGGGGGGGGGGGGGGGGGGGGGGGAGATATGAGAAAGGAACTAAACACAATTAGTACTTCCAGTGATACGGATACCATCTTTGACTTTAACCACATTTCACTTTAATTATACAACTTCACTATCATGCTAACCACTAACAATAAGTAGTTCAAAGAATAACTGGTAATAAATGGTCAACATGGAAGCAGATATGATTATTAAAATCAGATGTGGTTAAAAGTTAAGTCAACTGGAGTCAGGACTGTATTCTAGAACTAGAGAAAATTTGGTCTTTACCAACCATCTTAGCTGAGAAAGCTTCATGATTTCATTCCATTCAGCTATACAATTATCTTCCAAATTCAACAGCCGCAGAGAATCAAATCCATGAACCATCGAGGATGACACAGGCTGAACAGAAAAGGAAAATCAGAAGGCTTAAAAAGGCTAGTAAATTATTTTATAAAGTTGATAAAAGTTGCAGAGCAACATAAAATTAAACATGAAAGTAAAAACCTAAGTACAAATGGAATTCTCTTAGTCTGTCCATCATAAAAAATAAAAATAGTACAGTAACCTATCCTATTAACTAAGTTCCTAAATTTTAATGTCAAAACAGAAATAGTTTAGCAAATCCAAGGGACCAGTCAACCGGATAACAGAAAACACATTCAACAAAGTATCCCAATTCCCAGATATCAGTGCAACAGCTATCATAATAAAAATATACATTTACCATATAGAAAACATCTTTATTAGCCTCACTTCCATAAGATAAATTTTTGTATCCACTCTGCCCCCACTACCAGTAAAACAACAAACTTTCAAGGAGAAGGGGAAACATAAAAGACTGAGAAATACCAAGATGATATCCACAATGTTACCCAATTATCTTAGGCTTCCATTATAATACCATCACTTGCAGAAATGGACGGGTGTGGTGGACCAGGATGTGGGATTTATTTTTTCCATTTTACTTTATTTTGGGTGGAAAGGGGGGAAGGGGGAGGTCAGCTGTTTAGATACTCCAAATTGAACATCAGTAGTTCAGGCTCTAAGGTACTCAAAAGGCTGTGCCAGTTTCCAATGTTTAGTAAACTGCTTTCTAAGTTAGCCAATGGGCTACTTGGGGGAAGACATCTAAGCCTAAAGATTTTAAGATATTTGACAAGCATACCAAACCAAAGACAACATACCAGTATTCTGCTAATATTGTTTCCCATAATGTGTAGCTCTTCAATTGTTGTCAATGATAGTCCAAGCAGTTCAACCTGCCCAGTTAAAAAGGCAATTTTTAGCAATTACTAATTAAACATTAGGTAAATTTAAGAAAGAGAAATCAGTTGAAAAAAAGATATGGAAGGGAACCTGCTCCCAATCTACACCAGTATTATTTAAAACCAGAACACGGATGCTTTTCAGCAATGGAAGCTCAGACTTATATGGTGACATTAAGTTGTTTGATAAGTTGAGAGTCCCCAGAGCAGGTAACTGTTCACAAATTGTGCCAACATCCTGTAAATAGATTAATCAAAAAGAGACTAAATGGCAATTACTGTCAAATGATCTCCCAAAAAGAAACTGCAAAATAAATTACTAAATCCTAGCAATCACAATCAGAATATTAAAATATAAAGGAGAGTTTCAGAATAAAAACATTGCAACCAAAAAGCTATTTGAATTTAGCAAAAGAAAAACATCTGCAGTTTTTATCAATTAAAGTTCCAACTAAGATTTGGATGGCATGTTCAAAATAAGCAGACTCAAAGCTGCAGCAGTAGCCAGGATAGAATACTGGACAAAACCTGATCGCGGAACATACCTTCCACTCTGAAAGCAGGTTCCCAGTCAGGTCCAGTTCTTTTATATCTATTAACAAACAAAGAGGATGGTTTCAGCACATGGATTTTGCAGATATCAAAAAGAGAAAATTACAAGGAAACTTGTAACTTAATTCAAATTGCCTTACAGGATGGAAGCAGATATCAAAGAAACAAAATCTCTAACTATAACTTCAGGTACAAGCAACTAATTCGCTGATGCTACAATTTCATCAAAAAATAAAATAAAAATTCTGATACTACTAGTTTGATGTTTTACTCATCTTGATATTATCAAAGAAATGGGAGAGTTCTGGTATGAAGCTTACTTGGCACTGTAGTCTTAATATCACATGGAACTCCAGGGGAACTAACGCCCATATATGACAATGATGCACTGGTTAACTCCTCAAATCGACTTAGCTTATCATGAATTTTATCTTTACCCAAAAGTTGAACAGATACTCGCTTGTTGCTTGTTGAAAGGACATACATTTCATCTGCAAAAAGAAAAGAGGAAAAATCACATTATTTTCAAGGTTTTGTCAATGTAACATGTGCAAGAAACAACGTACAGAAGAGAGACTGGAATGTAAACAAATTCTTATAGAATGGAAAGCAAGTTTGAACAGATTTATAAATGCCTTCCTAATTCTTACCCAAAAAACAAATGAAAACATAACTAACTGAACATAAATAGGTCCCAAGGCTTCATATGAAATCAATTTTTAAGACTCAGGAAATAGAAATATCAATTGGCAGGAGGATTGCCAGTTCTAAATTCCCATTGAATAGTTCACCAGTTGTACATTTCTTCGAGGTTTTTCATTACCACTATAGTCTCTACTTTGTATAATTCTTCCATTAGAAAACTTCATTCTATCCAGTGTCCTCATTTGAATTGGGATTTCAACTTTCAAAAAAAGTTGAGTACTAAAGATGCCAGAGAATTACAGTCCCTTTTGCTTTTGCTGAAATCTCATCATTTCTTAGCCAATTCATACAGGAGAGTTTGGATTTTGGACTCTTCTGGTGTGTTTCTAGTGAATCCTTCTTTCTAACTCTCTCTCCTAATCAACGTTTCCTCCTTGACAAACCCAATTGTAAAAACAAAGCTTCATCTATCAACTTCTTGTTTAAATAACACTCCACACATTCTTTTGATGGTTAATTATAAAGGTTTTGGTAATTTGCAGCAATGCACAGTTTATGCAATTATTTGGTGTGTCTGGAGTAAAATGCTTGCATCTTTAAAGGTGCCTCTTTGGCCATAAATTTGATATGGGGTACCATTATACTGATGGCTTCTCTTTGGTGTTATGCCCAAGGATGTTTCAAGGGTGTAGCCATTTCTAGTATGAAAAAGTTTGGGCAGCCTTGCTGCATTTATTTTATTTTATTTTTTTCATGTTTGTCACTAGAACAACCTCCTCCCCCCAAAACCCAACAAAGGAATGAAAACAATGAAAGAAAGCAACTATACTCTATGTTGCGCCGACACTGACACAGGACACGGGGTACGACACGACACTCCGACACGTTAAATCTAAAAAATGTTAAATTTCGACACGTTAGAACATGTTTTGATATTATATAATATTTTTAATTTATATAGTGTATATTACATTTAGTATTCAATAATTTAACAAAAAAGTAAAGCTAAACTTATAATACCCAACAATTTTGCAAAGAAACATAATATATCCCAAATTTTTATATTAAACTCAATAAAATCTTAATCGTAATCTAACGAATCTAATAGTTGAAACTCAAAATGCAACGCAACGTAACCTTTAAACATTTTTTGAGTCTTTGCAACGAGTATTAGAGTGTCGGGAAGTGTCGGAGTATCGGTGAGTGTCAGACACGACACGTCAGGATCTTTGAAGTGTCGGTGCTTCATAGACTATAGTAATAGATTGGTAACAAGGCCATTGATAATAACTCAATGAGATGAAGATGACTTCTTTTCTTTTATCCCAAAAATTATGAAATCATTTTCACTCTCATTGTATTGTTTACTCCATACTACTCCATTGACCCAAAATATAGATATATAAACTACAAATAAAATTTAAGCCAGAGATATACCTTCTTCATCTTTAGTAGAGTCACTTCGATATCTACTTTCAAGAGCTTCCAGCAATGAAATCCCTTGGTTCAGATTCTTGGGACGAACAAATGACCCTGATCTTTCAGATTTTGCGTGAAAGTATCGGACACCATTGATTGATCCATCATGTTTTCCTTCTCCATTGTCCCAGTCAACTCCAACCCATGTCTCTGAATAGCCTTCTACAGGCCCCACATACTTAACTGTACCAATTCTCCGTGAATCACCAGATGAATGTACTCGTTGGCCCACCCAGAATTCATGTCTTGATGTGGGGGAATCCTGCATCTTTTGTTAAAGTTGGCTGAGAATTCCTCTTATGAAAAGCATGTAAAGTATTGAATAATCATAGAAGATCTTCATAATTCAAAATTCAAAGAATCAAAACTAGTATAAAAAATGATGCATATGCTTCGTCTCGAACAATCTAAGAAACCCAAACCTCAAATGAGCCTCTGTTTTCCCTTCAAAAGCGTTCTCAGTTACTCTACCTTTGAGGTGACCCGGTGTTGGATCCGTGGATCCTCTAAGCTGGAGTCTGGAGAACACAAAGCATTCACAAAAGAGAGTAAGGGTGTATTGGGCATGATTATAAGAGGACTTTAAAAGACTTGGGTTAAAAGATTATGATTAGAAAAAATTAAGAGTAATGTGAAATAAAATTAAATAATACTATAAAATTAATAAAATATATTTTATTTTTATTTTTAATTAATTTTTTTAATTAACGGGTTGGTGGATTAACCTACTATAAAACAAAATGAGTTTATTTTTTTAACTTATATTTAACGGCAGACCAATCCACTCTGCCTTATTTTTGGTGGGTCGGGACAGACCAATCTGTGTTAATATCTATATTATGAGTATAAGAGGACTTTAAAAGACTTGGATTAAAGTTTTAATTTTTTTTTAGAGAAGAAAAATCTTATAAGTTTTAAAAAATTATTTAGAATTAGATGATTTAAAAAAAATTAAAAGACTTTTTTTATAATTTAAAATTTCATAAGATTAGATTTTAAAGAATTTTAATATAATTTATAAGATTTGTAAGGACAATATGAATTTATAAGATTTTAAAAAATTATATGAATTTTTAATAAATATTCAAAATTACAAGAGTCAATAAAAAAATAAAGAAATACAATAATATTAATAAAAAATATAACCAAATACAATTTTCGCAAACAATAATTGATGTAACTTGATGTCTTATTAAACAGCAGCTCTCCACATATCAATACTAGTGCATTAGCATCTTCTTATTCATGCTCTTGAGTTTGATTAATGGGATGAAAATTATCTTCTGCATTTGGTACCAGAGATATGTATATATGATTATAAGACCCATAATTTTTTTATTTACTAAAATAATCTTAAATTTGTATATAGAACCTGAAGTTCTGGATATAATTTTGTTTAGAATTTTTTGCAATTAATCTTCGAAACCTTGGAGTTTTTGTTCTACGTGATAAGAGTATTCTACCCATATATCATATGCATATTTTCATTGAGTATTCTAATAAAATTCCGAATCTGAATTTATGGATTTTATTACATGAAAGTTTAGAAAATTTCTCAAATTATTTCAATCGATACATTGAAACCTTAAATTACTGTAGAGCTTTTAAAAAATAAGTTTTTAGTGATATATTAACACAAAAATTATTTGAAATCATTTCTTATGGCGAATGAATTTCGTTCATGAATGTATTGTTACGAAACATAGGGTTCATATTATGAGAATTTCAATTTTTCTTTAAATCGATCTTGTTTTATTGATGTAAAACAAAAACTGTTTTGGGGGTTTTTGTTCCCCTGTTATTTTTCCACTTATGTTGTTTTTAATACAAAAATTACATATTTTTGTGCCAAAAAAAATCACGACCTATAGCTTGAAAAATCATTTTTTAAACTACCAAAAGTTCTTAAAAATCACTCAAAAATATGTTTTTTTTGAGGTGGATTAGATTAGAATCTTGTTGGGTTATTGTTTCTTGGTTGTTTGTGATGAAAATCTTTCAAAAATATGTCATTTTTGAGCTTTGACGAAACTTCCATGACGAAATTCGGTTTCAAGCGGGTCGACCCGCCAAAGAAAAAGAAGATACTGCGATAAAAAAATCTCAAGAAATCGTAAGTCTTGGTGGAATTTCAAATCTTTTAATCTAACTTGTTGTATTGCATATTTGTTCTATTACCTTATGTTTTATAATAATATCGCTTAGCCTATCTACCTCACACAAAGGATCATTGACATTGTATGTCAGTGAGTATAAGATGAGATATAATGTAGTATATTTCATTACAGGAGGTGTAAAAGTATATGAGATTTGTAAATACATTTTCCTCTTTCATTTTCTATAGCTGTGTACTTTCAATTCAATGCTTCCAAATCCTTTTTTTCCTTTCCTTTCTTTCGAGACAAATTAGTTGTCTAGTTTAATGAGAAATTAAAAAGAACTTTGTTTCGTGGGTGCTTACAATTAGGATTGAAAAATTAGGTTCGGCTCGACGGACTCATTTGTTGACGGGTTGATAGCGGGGAGGGACGGGCCGAGGCGGGTCAGTATAAATAGGTTTGGGCCGGCGGGCTGAGCTTTTTATCCTATTTTCAAAAGCAGAGCAGGGCGGGCTGCCTCATTTTTTGGCTGGTTGATTGTGGGGTGGGCCGCCCACTTTGCCACCTCTACTTACAATATATATGCAGACAAATTTTAATCCATTTGGAAATATTTTTGAAAACCATTTTATTCACAGGTGGTGTCATGATATTCGTCGAGAACAAGACGCCAATAAACCTCTTTTAAAAAAAGTTTTTCAAGTAGTTTGCTGGTTGGTATTTGTAAGAACTCGCACTGGTAAGTAAAGAAGTTAATTAATTAATTATGTGAAATTAGAAAATATTTCTATAATTGATCCTAATAATTATTATGAGGCTTAAATAATTATGGTAAGTGTTTTATAATGCTGAAAGTCACTTTTCTAACGAAAAGTGCAGATATCGGTTCTGCTACTCGCTATAAATGTGTATCGATGAAGTATCCCGGAAAATTATGAAAAGTGGGTATATGTCACTAGAATAATATATAGGACTTGTAAAACGAGTTTCAAGTTAATATAATGAGAACTGATGCCATAACTGATACTGGCTATGGAAAAGCGCGTACCGAAAAGGTGCTGCGAAAAATAAAATAAAAATATGATAAATCTTAGAAAAATGAGTAGGTTCAGAATCCTAAGTTTGGGATTAAAATGCTAAGCATAGCTATTAGTGCTAATACAGTGTGTTAACACTTAAACCACCTATATATACTAAGGGCACATAACCCTAGGCTGGTCCTCAGCCTCCCTACGTGAACCTTGTGTCCCCCATTTCTGACTTGATGCCTTCTCCTCTTGCCACCACCATTTCCTCCTTGGAAAACCACCAAATGATCACCTTTTCTCATGGTTCTTCCTTGTAAACACTTAGTGGCTTGTGTTGGGTGAGTGAGAAGCATATTTTCTGAGTTGTCATCTCTGTTTGTTGAGGTTCTTGGGGCTGACTTCTTGGTGGGAGTCTTGGGAGCCATTGTAGTGGCACTTTGAGCTCCAAGAAGTAAACTTTGTGAAAAAAGATCCTTGTTTGAGTGGTATTTTCGTGTGCCTTGAAAGTCAGAACTGTAGAGGCTGATTAGTGAGCTCCAAGAGCATCATCCACCTCTGTTTTAAGCTTGGGTAAGCCTTACGACCCACGAACTTGAGTTTCCTTAGCTAAAATTGAATCATTGATGCATGTAATGGATTAAAGTTAATAACGTGTGGTTGGGTAAGCTTTAACACACCTTAAAATGCATGTTTAAGCCTCTGGAGTCGTGAAATGAACCACCTTTGGATTGATATCTCGCGAAATGCAGAACTGCATTCTGTCGCGAAATATCTGGATATAGATATCCGGATATGGGGTTCTGAATATCCAGATATTGATATCCGGATATGCCCCCGACAAATATCCGGATATTCTGGGTTTGCGTGAACAGTAACGGTACTGTTCATACAGAACTGAGTTGTGGGTTCGTGGACCCTATGTTGATGAAGTTGAACTCCTGTAATAATTAATGCAAGTCAGAATCTAAGTGATTAAAGGCTTGTGGCTTTGTGAGAAGCCTAAAGACATGGAACGTATGGAAAGGCGTTGTCTTTATATTGTATGAGTGTAGAGTTGAATATTGATATGTTAATTGGTTCATAACAGATTATGATTATGCTGTGTTTGGACCTTGAGCTTGTGTGGACTCTTGGCATTGGATAGTTAGCTTGCAAGGTAAGCTTTCGTGTCCTCGGTTTAGCCATTGTATGTTCCATCATGTCCCATGGGGGGATGGTTTATATGTATGATGCGTTTTCATGTACTGTTTTATTGAAATGCTATGGAGCTGTTAATGGCAAAATGCTTATGATATGTATGTGGTGTTTCGTCTAGCCAGGAAGCCATGGGGTGGTACTGGGGGCGGGTACAGCATGGGCTGGTACTATGTGGGTAATAGACGTATTCCTACACTTCTCTGATCAGTAGAATTGTTATAACACACATGACATGATTATCTGCTGCATTGCACTATTTTGGAACTTATACTGTTTGAACTGCTTTTGAACTTATATTGCACATGTAAGTGAGCTTGGGGTAGAAGATCCTTGAGGACCCCTTGTCTTACTGAGATTTCTTTTTAGAGATCTCACCCCACGTTTGGGGCACATATATCAGGTTCAGGTAATGCGGGGGTTGAGACCTCTAGCGGCAGGAGGCCGGAGCTTATGTTGGATGCTGGATATTGACTGTTGCCTTTTATGCTTTTAGCTTCATGATGTTATTGTTGAGACTGTTGTGGGGCTTTGTTGCCTTATTTGGTGAGCATAGAGATTGTACATGCCACATTGACTTGACTTTATGTTTAGTTGTTTCTAGTTGTAATTAATAATGTATCAGGATATTGTCCGGACTACGTGTAGTAGATCCGTGACTTAGATACTCACATCTATGTTATAAGGTATTTCAGTTAGTTGTTGGATTGCAATCACATACAGCGATATTTTGTAATCTGATTTTAATAATCAACTTGGCTAAGTATAACGACGTCATAATTGAACAGAAAAAGTTATTCCGCATTTTTATATTAAGTGTGGCTTAATACGATGACATGTTAACAAATCGGGTTAACACGGGGTGTAGGGTTGGTGTAGGGTTAACACTGTAAGTTGCATCGTTTATTTTTAAAATTAGTCATCACATGAATGAATTTGGTGTAGGGTTGGTTGCAATTGGAGGAAGTTGTTCAATTAGGTCCAG